CTACTACTACTACCACTACTGCTATGTCTACTAGTACCACTCGACTTGCGGCTAGTCCTCGACCACTTGCTACTTCCAGGCCGTATTGAGCAACAAATACCAATGAGGCTGGAGCCGACCAATGCACGGAACCGCGGCAACGAGGCAGGGCTGAGGGCGAAAGGCGCCAAGAGTTCCAATACGTTCCAGTAAGACCATGTTTTTTGTGCATGCTGGGAATCCGGTCGTATTTACATACCAATCGAAAATTTAAGGAGGAGGAGGAGGAGGAAAATGGCCCACAGGCATTACTGCGGCCGACAACCCCCTTTCCCCCAAGCATCTCCGAGCAGCTCCGATGAGCACTTTTGTCGTTTGGATGGAGAGCCTGACCTAAACTTCTCTCCAAACTCAAAGACCTGCAGGCTACGACTTTCGCCGTGAACAAAGCCATGAACGTGGCGGCGGATCTCAGGCGGGATCTCCGCAAGGAAGTTGGCAAGTCTAGATCATAATCGCGCTTGATGTCGAACTTGCAGAAGCTTTGTGGGAGCGGAGCTTTGCCGCTTGGAAAATGCACCCAAGCGGTGTTGAGAACACTCGGATCCGTGTGGTCCGGCACACACGAATACCACCTCCAAGTAGTCCTCATCTGTTCCCGTGCTTCAGCGTGGAAGTGCGAAGAATCCAGTTCAGGGACCAAGCTGGCCTCCAGGAGGCTACTATGGTCCTATACCATTACTACGGGATGTGCTTTGCATCATGCTTGCTTGTATGAGTAGCCTTGTAGGAGGAAGACAACGGTTTCATGGATTGTACCGGAGACCGAGGTTTCGTGAGCTCGCAGTTGCGCACACAAATCGGGTTGTTTTAGCGGCAGCGTCGGTTCCTGCAAGGCACCAGAAGCCCCACATGCTGGCGTGACTATTGTTCTCCATTCTCCAACCACACTTCAAGCTCCGCGCCTTGGTGCTCCTCGAAATATAAGTTCCCCAAATCTGAGTCTAGATTCCTCCACTTTCAAGGCTAGTGCCCCGGAGTTTGTCGGGAGTTCAGGCGGCAAGCAGCTGAGGAGGCGGAGCAGCGACAGGTGCATGGACCAGAAGGGTTTACTGTGCTTGCTTGCTCATGGGGAGTGGCGAGTAGGTTTGTGAGGGGTATGCGGTACGAGCACTTATTGCTTACATAGCCTTTCTCATCCTCTCTCATTAAAACTACACACCAACCGTTAAGTAGCCAAAGGTGTGCAAGCAAATGTTTGTTTTGCATGCCGTCCTGCGTGTTTGTTTGTTGGTATTGTGATCGAGATTGTACCGACGTAAAAAACTAGGACCCCTGCATTTTAATATTCGAGCCGTCTACCATGCTGCAACATATGTTGCAATGTGGAAGGCACGCCGGCGGATGCGAGGAGAGGGCAGTGCTGGGGAGGCCGGCCTGTCGGTTTTGCGTGCTACAGTGGCGGGCTCAGTGATGCAGCCAAATCGACACCAATGACAGCAGGAGGCGCACTCCAGGCCACGGCCTGCGTGGAGTCAGGTTTAGCGGCTAGCGCAAACCCAAGTCCTCTATGCCTCATATACGCGACCCTTGACCCCCACTCCTCCCTAACACTTAGCTTAGACACATTTACAGCCGTCTCATGGTCTCAGGTTTTCTGGCGCGATCTGGGTAAATGGTGTGAGCTCCGTAGTTACGAAGCAGTTACTGCCGCAGTTGTCCTTTTAAACTGTTTCACTGTATTGAGGTGCGTGCACATATTCGACACATACGGACACATATGTGTAGATTTAGACAAATGTGCATACACACATGCACCCGCATGCAATGCATTATGTATACACTGACAGAGACGGAGAGAGAGAGTCTGTGTCCCATGCGACAGAGAGAAACAGGCGGACAGAGAGAGAGAGAGAGAGAGCGCTGCATTTCTGCGCCGTCGCCGCAATGATGTTTCGGATTTTGAGCGAAATATAGGAACATGCGGGGGCTGGGGTGGATTGGTTTGGGTGGGGGCAGCAGCCTCAGCCTCGCTCGGATGTTCCAGATGCGGACCAGCTACGGGCTCCTTGCGTAGCATGGCCACGCAGAATGGATCTGATCTGGCAAGCAGCCTGGCAGGTACTGTCTTGTCCGGGAACTACTCTTCCTCAATGCTCATCATCATGTGGCAAAAATAAATGTCGCCTGTTGTTCAACAAATTTCGTTTACGCCCACAGCAGGAACCGCATGCCTCCTACCACCGGACAGTCGATTGTTGCAATGGTGTGATACAGTCCTATCAATAGAACAGCCTTCCGACTGCAGCTGGCATGGAACAAGAGCCAGAACCGGCTCCCTGAGTAAGCCAATGGGGACAGAGGGAGAGAGACGGAGGGAGAGGGGAGAGATGGGTAAATGCGTATGCATACATGTGCACAGATGTTAGTCCGTCTCTGGGTGGATGGGCCTTGACCTTCCTCTATCTCTGTTCCGTTGAAACCTGGGAGATCTGAACATGGCAGATTGAGCCAGATCCCGACCACCTGAGCAGGGCGGCGACCTGGGATTCTTCGATGCGCTCTTCCAGGCAGTCAAGCCGCACGCATTCCGTAGAAGTTTCGTGCAGCTGGCTTGATCTTGTTTTCATGTTAACTTGTGTTTAGCCGGAGCTTCTGTAATGGGTTACTGATACCACCATGATGTCAATGATGTCCCGTACTTTTGTGAGAGCAGAGAAGGCTCATCAGCTTGTCGACACTGCGATCATCACCTTTTTATGCAGACACCTGATCTAAGCGAATCAAGCAAGTACTTCAGCACCTGCTGCAAATTTTGCCTTACCACCATGTGGTAGACCCACTCAGCCTATAGGGTGCTCAGAGAAGTTTGATTGAGCATTCCATGTTGGTTCCACTTATGTAGAGTCGTCATGCAAACTCCGTTTCTCTTGGTCAAGCATCGCCTGTCTGTTGAGCTCAGAGTGAGCCTGGAGCTACAAACAACCCCAATCACCCGCAACTATACCCACTCGCACTGTACTATGCCGCAAACCGGTGGCCGCAACAAGGATCCGACCTGGAGCTCTTGTACGCCGGCCAAGGTCCGAGGGGTCTCAGAGCCGTGCACTTGCCAGATGGCTTTTTCTGGTCCGCACATGCATACTTATCGGTGTAGCGAACGAGGAGACAAGTTCAGTTTGGGTTTTGAGCTTCGGGGTGCCAGAGTCAGGTTTGGTATGTTCCCACGGCCTAGTGCACAGAGTGATCAAGGATAGCTTTATCGGTGCCTCCGCTGGAATTTGCAAATTATTTAAGCTTGCTTTGTTCGTCAGGCTTGCAATGAGATCGTGAAGGCTCTCGAGGAGGAAGACGAGGAGGAGGACAGCAATGCAAAGCCGAAGACAACCCGCGGCCTTGAATGGCCCAAACTATGTGTTTGCGCTGTTTGGTGCTGGTAATTGCCAAGCGGTGTTTCGCTCCAAAAACCTTAGACCGAACATGATCGAACAAGACCTGTCTGTGATGCATCAGGATGCACCCTCGTAGCGCTTGCACGTCTTCCGGGCATTTCGCTTGATGTAGAACATTGTAGTACCTGCAGCAGGAGTCGCGTGACGGACGATTCTGCAAATCAGATCCTTAATTGTAGGCTTGAAAAGTGACCCATCAAGCTGCGGTGCAGGAGGATGCCCAGCCAGAGCAGCCAGATAACAATGAGGAGCAGGTGGGACCTGCCACGAGAGCCTGAGTCGGCGGTTTACTTTGAGACATCACTTCGCGGCTCCCTGGTACTGTATTCTTGCTGTTGGATTGGCTGCTCGGCTTCTTTCCCCCCACTTGAGTCATGCCTGTTTTTTGGGCTTTGGCCAACATGAAGCGCTCATGTGCCACAGCCGATGTCGCAGATGTCGGACTGCTTAGGAGCCTGACCAATGTCGACCCTTTGCACCTTGCATGCGGCATCGTGCGGCTTCACACAGTACAGTGTTACCGGTGCTCGTCTTTGCCACTGTTCCCTGGCTGGACATGAAGCACGGACCCGCACTACAGTAATTGCACGGGTTTTCATACCTGGCACTTTGTTTATGCTGTGTGACCATACCGTCGCCTTCGTCAAAGAATTAATAGCGCAAGTCACACGCCAATCGACCAAGACACAAATCCTCGTATATCTTTCTTTCGGCTCCTTCAACATATGTCCAGCAGATATTTTGTTGCAGGATGGCGGTGGCATTCTACCTCACATGATCGACAAAAATATCTGTGCAGACGAACGCGAACATAGCCATTGCCCAGCAGATTCGTTACATCGCCATGTGTTTTGCTGCATGGTGCGCGATTGTTGAATCAAACATGCAGTGGATTATGGGTTCCACGACGTGGTGCATTGATCTCACCTGTCTAAGGTGTACCATCATAAGTCACAGACACCGATTGCGGCAGCCTGCGCTTCCAAAAACCGCGAGGCTGACGCCAAGTCCGACTCGGAGTCAAGCCGAGGCTCGAATTCGGACACAGGATCCGTGTCCGACTGAGTCATGACCAGTCGGACCACCTGCACTGCAGATCACTGCACCTGCTCGTTTCCCAAAGCCGACCGCGACGGCTACAGATGCATCAAAGCTTAAATATGCTTGCCAAAGCGAGTAGTCAATGTTGGGATATGTTGGAATTGATCTCACTGCTTCTTCTTCTTATTCTTCTTCGAGCTTGGGACTACGATTGGATGTTCTGGGGCTTGTTCCTCCTCCCCTGAGTTTCAGTGCTGTGTTTGCTCGATGTTGGGTATTTGCGATGCCTAGTCAGCAGCCCTTCAAAAGCCATATGGGAGCAAGCACGAAGGTTGTGTGTCACGACTCCAGGTCCATATGAAAGGTTACTTACTACTAGTACCCAATCATCGGCCACCATGACTGCTTGAGTTATGTGGCTGTTCCCTCGAGCACCAGCGTGTGCATCACCAGCTTTAGCATTCCAGCACCATACCCTTGGCAGAGATGGTGGTGAGCTCACCGCTCTGTCTAGCTGTGTTGAAACAGTCGCCGTTCCACACGTCATAGTATATTCCATAGTTGTCATGCCCATAGTATCACTAGCAGTGGTGAGGGCCAGCGTGGTCCGGGTGGCACTAGAAGGCGCAGTCGGCGTCGTGACAATGGTACAAGCTACAGTGCAGAAGTAGAGGGGTGAAGAGGCATGGTCTAGTGTAAGTGTAGTCGTTTTCGTCGATGTCGTCCCATTGTTAGCCAGTGCTCCCAGTGCGTTCGGCATTCGACGTGAGTTTTGTTTGCTTTGCGGCTGTAGCTTCTAATAATTTCGTTTCTTTGAGAACTGCTGTGGCGCAATTGTAGACAAGCGTAGACACGCCCCGTCGATGTGGATTTGGAGAAGCTGAGCCTTCGTAGCTCGGTCCCATCAGCAAGTTAATGCCAGCTGTTGGCGACATCACGTGCCTTCGAGATGCGCAAACCTAGCAAGGTTGCGACGTGCATTGGATGTCGTCAGCGTGCCCGTCTGCTGAGTTTTGACGAAGCTTGTGCAAAAGTCGGCTGACGGACAATAACACTGTGTGGCTGGCAGAACGGAATCTCTCAAACGGGACTTTCCATGACCTCCGACCCAGACTGTATTCGTTGCTTGCGTCGCGAAACAGTGCAGGCCACAGTAGAAGTTGTTTTCGCACGTGGCGTGCAGGGCATTTCGGGACTCAGGGCCCGAGCTTTCGCTTCAGAAATCTTCAGGGTTGTGCGCGAACGCAGCCCTGCTTATCCTCGTCGGCAGTGCGTGGGCTTCGCCTTTTACTCGGTTAATGAAGCGGTAAGCCATTGCTCGCGTCTGCATGAAGTTGCTCCATTGTTTTCACGTGGGATTCAGAATTCAACAAGACTGTAGGCTTAGGTCTGCAAGTGTCGGTGACTGTTGCCAACATTGCCAACTAGTAACTAGTAACTCAGGAGCAGTAAGGGACACGCATCGTTTTGCGCAGCGTGCGCCTGCATCAGATCAAGTGCTGGCTGAGCAAGCTCATGTCGGTAGCCACTGACAGCTCAAACAGCAGCAGACCCATCCTGACGCTCCCAGAGGAGGCTTCAGAGGCTGTGGCGTCACTGGTGCAGGTGCTATTCCTAGACGTACACATGCAAAACATCAGAGAGTGGCGCTACCATCGGAGAGTGACTCTTGCTTTCTGCTTCTTGCATTGTCGCTGGCGGTAGTTGAAACTGCGTGATGAGAGCATCGCCGCTGATCCAAGGCCCTTGGCAGCACGGCACGGTCACCGAGCTAGCGAGGTGGGAACCATCCGCAGTCGTCGTTGAAGCAGGAGTAGGAGGAGGAGGAGGAGGAGGAGGAGGAGGGGGAGGAGGAGTGGTAGCAGTAGCAGTAGGTAAGCATAAGTAGGTAGTACTATTACTACTGGTTGTTGCTGCCTCCTCGCAGCCTTCGTGTTGGCGGCATCAGGCGGTATCAACTGGGAAAAGCAATACTTGCAATGATGTTGGTACTGCCTGCGCATTTGCGAGCATAGATGCCCTCCGTCGTTTTGTTGTGACAGCATTTGGTGACCCTTGCCAAGGCATGTTCCTCTTAAGAATCTTGGCCGGGCGACAGCATTCTACATCCACTTTGCTTGCCTGCTGTGAGTGCTGGAAATTAGCATGCTCATCCGGGGTTATGGAAGTGTAGGGAAGCATGCTGTAGTAAGTAGTTTGGATGTAACATCTCCATGACAAGATTTAACAGGAAAACGAATTGTCGTTTTGTTCCCGGCCCATCGGCGCTGTGTTCTTATGTCAAGTCTTTCCGCCCCAGAAGAACTCAATTTGGGAACCGGATTGCCGCGATGTGGGTTTCCACGGCTCTTTGTGCCCAGATCATGAAGCAATAAGAGGTTCCGGTGGTTGCGTCGGGAGGGGGAGAGATTAGCGATGGTAGGTGTTGTGATCATGGTGGTGGAGACGGTAGTTGCAAGGGGTGGGCAAGGAGCAGGAAGAGAAGGAGGAGCAGCCTTAAGATGTCGCGATGGCCTATAGTTTAGGCCGGATGCCAAGTCCCATCCCTCGTTGTTATGTAGTTCGCAGTGAATCATGCTTTGCATGAAACAAGCTCGAGCTCTGCCATATTTTATGGATGATCGATGATAGATGCTGTCTCGTCTTGGGCGTTGTCTTGACTCCGGGCTGAAAGCCATCCGGAGCTGTCAAGATCATTTTGCAGGCTGTTCAGAAGCATGTTGCGAAGAGCGCACCCAGAATCAGGGACCACCAGCCCTTGCAAGCAGAACTCCTCAAGGTTTACCTGCAAACTCTAATTTCGATCCTCCTTGGCACAGGACCGTTGGAGGCCGTTTGCACCGAAGTCCAGAATTGGAGGACTACGGGCATGCTTGCCTGAGTTGCGGCCGCAAAACATATTCGAGATTCAGTAAGGAAGCCTAAACCCTAAAGCACCCATCTGTGGCAGAGCAGCAGAAGCATGTGAGCAAAGGAGTAATACCACGACTCCCACTCTTTAGAATATGACCAGCCACAAGTGTTTGAACCCTTTGGCATTGATTCCACCAGATGGCCGTGTGCCATAGTATGGAACAGTCGAGCCGTCGCATGAGAGTCTCCTGGCTCCGGATAGCACGACTATGCTTGCCACGACTGCCAGGATCCTAGAGCTCCCAGCGCCAACTTGCAGGTTGCGCAGCATTCGAGAGATGCCACTGCAGGAACCGAGCAGAGCTTACCTAGCTTTGCAAGCGAGGGGACCACCTGTCTACACCGAAATCTGCAGACTCTTTTCGATGCTTCAGGTTTCAGCCAAGAGTCTCCCCAAGCACATGGCCTCTCCGACTCTCGGTCTGGACTGGTAACGGACTGGGTCCGGTGCATGGCAAGTGCCAGCAAAGGCTGGACCAGTTTTCTGCTGGACCTTGTCAGGCTCCATTGATTCAGGATGCTTAGGGTGCAGAACTAGTCTTGCGGTTTGGGGGCGTGTAGCTTGCTCGGAATTTCAAGACGCCCCAGACTATTGGGCCAATTCAAATTTGTGCTGCAAGTGTGTAGACATGATTCAGAGGTTCACATGTCGTTTCCACTTGCTCTTGGATCGTGCCCTCAGACCCTTACTGAGCACTTTGCATTGTCCGTGGCTGAGGACTGTCATGTCGCCGCCTGCCCGGGCCTTATCGGATTTTTTTGGTTTTGGGTGTGGCTCAAGTATCTTTTCGTGACTGCTCTATGGCGTGCGGCCTGACAAGGGACGTGGCAGCCGAGAATGATAATTTTCGAGAATTGCTTGAGATATGTCACCCCGAACTGCATATGCAGTACCCTGAATCCAGACTTAATTTTTCATCCAAACGCCAAATCCTGAAGCCCTCGTCCGCAAGTACCCAAGGGCTCGCCAATGCCGAGCTATCGGTTTGACGAGCTTGTCTTCCCGCTTCCGGCGCCGAAGCGCGCAGCCGATCCGCCGCCTGAGCTTCAACCAGCACTGTGTAGATTTCATTGTTGTCGACGTCACGAAATAAGCAAGCAGCACAGTCGCAGCAGCAGTAACTACGGCATAGTACTGTAGCAGCCTCAGCCCAGGACAAGAGCAGTCATGGACAGTGATTTCGTCCGAAGTGTCTAGTGCATGCTTCCACAATGAGGCCTCTTCTCAGGGCACTGCGGATGGCATCGTTGTCGCAGGCCAGGTGGGTCTTGTCGCGCACTCGTCCGAACCATCCAGCCCGCCTTTGTTTCTGCCGGTTCGTCAACGGGGCACAGGGTTTTCAGGCGCTGCAGTCGGGGAAGGCGACCTGAACTTGATCCCTAATAAACCATGCCATTGGTCGCGACTTGCGCATTTTACGCTTGCCCCAGGCTTGCCCATCGTTTTTGTTACAATCCTTAAGCCGGTAAAACGACAAATTGCAACAGATCACTGCTTTCAGCTCTTGCGTGCCATCGGTTGTGAGATTATGAAGGCATCAAGATGACCATGTCAGTCCCTAGTGTTGTCGTTTCTGTCGCACACACACCTGTGAAAGTTTCAGATGCTAAGCTTCGAAGCTAAAGCCTAGAACCCGAGAGGTGCGCTGGCTTCTAGAAGAGGAGTCTGCCACTTGGGGCTCACGGGGCAAGTGAATACAATCGGCTGGGAATTGCAGACCCAGGTGGTGATGGTCCTAATCTGAAGTTCATAACTGTCTTTCGGTGCGTGCTGTTGAAACTGGTCGCGCGAGCTTTATTGACATGGAAAGATTGAGGCAGACTAGAGTACCAATTGCAAGCCACAAAGACATGTTCGGTTTTGTTCTCTTACCCCTCAAGAAGATTCATGATGCCAGTGCTGAGCCTCATGATCAGGGGTTCAAGGAATCATGCGTCGGCTGTGTCGGGGGTTCTGCGCCGAGCCGGGCGAGGATCCAGAAGCCGCCAGCTCCATCTTCATTGAGCATCGCTGTGAGACACCGCTCTGTGCAGGGCTTGTGACTACTACTTTCTACTCAGCTACTACCATTGCTGCAGCTGCTACTGCAAGCACTCTTACGTATTATTAC